CGCACGCACGCACGCACGCACGCACGCACACACACACACACTCACACACACTCTCTCTCTCTCTCTCTCTCTCTCTCTCTCTCTCTCTCTCTCTCTCTCTCTCGCTCACACACGCGCAGCACCAAAACATAGACCCCCCCCAGCAGCAATGCGAAATTGAGCTGTAAGAGCTTAGCACACAAACACTACCCTAAAGTAGAGCGTGCACTGCTCACTCGGCTTCAGATCAAAGTAACCCTGGAAGTCACGGAGCGCCTCTTTCCAGGGACTGCACAAAGTGCATCATGATCTTGAGCCACAGATGTGACAAAGTCGGGGTCTGGTGGAAACGTGTTATTTTCACAAGCAAGAGCAAAATACAAACACACACACGCACACGACCACCTCGCAGCAACAGTAAAAACCTTGCACCCCGGTAGGAACAACAAAAACGGCAACAGCAAAAGCAAAGACACTGTAACTAGACTGTAACCGTCTTGGCATTGGTTGTGTCTTGCGTGGCCTTAGCGGATTCCTCGGACTGGTCATGATGTCCTGTCAGATGCATCAAACATCCATTTATGCCGGGATGGCTTCTAGAGATCGAGGGCTTTTGCAAAGTTGAGGCCTGTAATCAGGAGCTCGAAGTTGTTGTGGAAAACACCTTGACAGCCGCGGAAGCAGGGGGCCTTACATGCTGAAAGCCAGATGGCGCCAGGTTCCGGCGGAGTCGGAGGCGTAACTGGGCCGAACTTGTGAAGGGGATGCAATAATGCAACCCTATGCTGGGACTTGGTTGAGGAATGTTTTGAGATGGCACTGAAACAATCTCGTATAAAAAGCGTCAAACCGAGGCCTCCAGCCAGTGCGCCTGCGGCGCCCGCGGCCTCCGAGGAGTAGGGGACGCCTCTGCCGATCTCTGCCGAAAGGTGAAGCTGCAGGGTGCCGAATTTTCTACAATTCTTCTTTCTTTCTAAACATTCTATATCTACAGCACCCAAGGCACTGCTGAGGCTTTGCTGAGTTCCGGTATTGACGTTGCAGGAGGCTCCTTCCAATCCCACGTCCTGAGGGCGAGCACCGCAGCTTGAATCCAAACGGATAGGAGTAGCTCCCGGAGTCAAAGTCTTAGCATTCCCACCGATTTCCTTGTCAACGAACAGAAGCTGCGCTCCCGACCCCACGGCACTCGGAGAGGTTTCACGGCGAGGAGAGGAGAGGTGAGGTGTAGCTGCCTTGTGCATGCTTTTCAGATCTTGTCGCCTCCCTACGCGCGGGGAAGTGCGATAGCTAAGACGGCTTGTAGGAGGAGACTTTGCTAATATTCCATCTTGCTATGTCTCGCCCGGACTTCTGTCTTTCCAGCACAAACTTCAACTTAATTACTTGTGCTAGCCACTTGTGTGCAGCATGGCATGTTCCAATCAGATTGAAGAAGTCGGGATGAGATCGCTCCGTCACCAGCGGAAAACGTCTGCAGCAGCATGTTGCTCTCGCAAGCAGATATTGCGAAGCCAGGCCCAGAGATCCTTAGCAGAAAACAGATAGTTCCCCGCGTCCCTGCAATCTTTGGCTCAGCTGGTGGGCCACGCAAAGGCTTCGGGCCGACAGGCCGGAGGGAACGAGAACTGCTCGAAGCAACTGCTCTGGTTGCGTGTTGCTTGCCATCTGTTGTGGTCTGCGGAACTTGGCCATGCGCAGAATGTCACAAAAGCTGGCCTTGCGGAGCTCGCACAAATTGTTGTTTAACAAGTCATCCTGAGTAGATCCAGTGAAAGACGTGGTCCGGATCCTCATCACTACGCATGCATCTGTCTAGCTATCGCACTTTCTAACAACGTACATTTCTGCACAGTGAGCCACAGCGAACCCTGCGGTTGCACACGCAGCTGCGTGGCGGCTTTTGCGACGACGTTCGGGGTTGTGTGGGGTGTCTGGGCAGCTTCGGGCCGGCACATGCCACCCAGAATTTCTGCTTCTTCCGCTTGAAAGTCGCAACAACTGTCAGCATGGGTTGCCTCGACTACTCTGAGCTCACCGTCACTATGTCCCTGAGCCACTAGGAGGCAGAAAGCAGGCATGTGCCTGCCCGAAAATGCCAACACACAGGAAGTTTTCAATTGCACTTAATTATGCCAAGCCTCCGCCACCCTCGAGTGCTTCCCAGGGCTGTGCCCCAAGCTTTCCCTGCTACGCTTGATTCCCATATTCATGTAGAAACGACTTTTAACGATTGAAGTTGTGCTCGACGAGAGATCCGACGGGACGGGACCCTGCCACAGGCTTGCAGCGCCGCAGCGCTCCCCAACATGGGCAGGCTGAGTCCGGGGTGTAAGGCAGGAGCAAGAGCTTCTTGCCATTCCTTGGTCGAGGCGCGGGCAAATTGCGATCGACCGGATCGTGGCGCTGCGTTCGTCAGTGCTGCCGCATCTTGGCAGCGGCTTCAAGCGAGACTCTGTCCGCGAGCAAACCAACCTACAGTGGCCTGTGATGTGGGTCCGAGGATATACATCATCATCAGCTGCAGCCACAGCTTCGTTTGAGGGATGCGCAGATGGCACGAACTACTGTCTGCACTCAGGGCCCAACAGCGTGACTACAGCGGACGAGGTGCGAGTTGCAGCAAGACCGGTCTGCTGGTAGCGGCTTTGCAGCGTTGCGGCTATGGCTGCTACGGTTGCAGTGGAGGTTTCTGAGGACGGCAATGACTTCCTCACGACCCGGATGCCGGCCTCGGCAAGTTATGCTAGAGTTTCAGTCCAGGGTTCGTCTCCTTCCTTCGGACCTTGGTCTTCTGACACCAGACGGGTATTGTCACCCGAGTTCCGCAGAATTGGCAGGTTCGGTGATCAGATCGCATTCCAGTCAATAAGTGCGCGGCCCAGATGATCGTTGCAAGAGCATTGCGGTTGACGTGAATATCTCTTGCAGCCCTTCTTCTCTTCTCCCTCCTCCCTCAGAATGTCTCAGTGGTTTTGAGCGCAAGATTGTTTGCGGGCAGCCGTTGTTCCAGCACCTGAGTCTCCGACCGTCGTGCCCCCGAGCACTGTCGTATTCACTGCAGACGCAGGTGGGGACTACCTAAGCGCGGAGGGAGACGAGGCCACAGTCACCATCGCCAGCTGCAGATTTTGCTGGCGAAGGGTTGGAAAAGCACAGCTCTGCGGTACAGGATGTCGTTACATAGGTTCACAGCTCATTTGCTATTGCCACCGGCCCGCATCCCTGTCAAACTGCTGGCAGATCGGCACCCGCCGCTATTGCAGCACCTTCGAGCGGTTCTCCGTCGTGAAACAGGAATGGGGCTGTAGCGGTGAAATTCCAGGTTCTTGTTCACAGCTTCCGACCTCGACAGTAGGATGAGGGCTGCTTTCAAGTCGAGACATCGGAATGAGGACACGCAGTACTCCTTCCGCACGGCGTCAGGGAAATTCCTGAGCGTCAGCGACCGGGCACCCTTCGTGACATTGGCCGGGGCCGACAGACTTGTGGAGAACAGCTCGCGCGGCTGAAGCGTCTCCCTCCTGTCAGGGAGACTCGCCGGGTGACACGGAGTCATTCCAGCTCTTTTCGTTGATGATGTACGGTGTGAATGCGACATCCTCGGTGGGGGACGGGATGTTCTTCTTTGCAGCGTGTGCCTTCTGGTTTCCTTCAGAGCAGTTTCACCTGCTGGCCAATTTCAGTGCATGTGCTCTTGGCACTTGCTCAGGTCGGGCAGCAGCTGGAATTGCTCGATAGGCCCTGCCTTTGCGTGATGAATACACAAAGCCATCATGCCGAGGTGCCTGATCTTTTGTGCAGGCCTGCAGGCTGTTGCTTGATCAAGGCCTTGTGCCGGGAAATGTTGAGGGTCACATGAAAGCTGACTGTAGACCAAGAAGCTTCAACGCAGAATACGTTGCGCTCCTCTTGTGCAATTGTGCAAAGCGGATCCAGGAAGATGCAACAAGACACAGGTAGAGCACCATACATGTGGTGCATCTGAGCCTTGCTTGGCCTCACGTCAAGCTGTCGGAGCTGCCATTTCGGCCAGTGTGTGACCCAGCTTTGGCAGTTCTCTATGTAGTTTGAGAGAGTCAGTCCTCAGAATAGTGGTAGCTCATAAAGCTCGGATGTGGCCTGCTTTCTGTCCTTTTGCCGAGAGCTCCTGCTTGTCTTTGCTGGGTTTTGCAGATTCCACGCAGTCTTTCAAAAGCGAGTGAGTTCTTCGGCACCCTCCGGATCAGCCAAGGCAAATGATGCGTTCAGGCCATCTGCACGTGTCTTGCAGTTCGTGCAGACGTGACAACACATGTGGAGTTGTTCTGGCAGGGCTAGCAACATCCAAGCGTGAGAGATGACATTGGGTTTGAGAGCGGGGCATTGCCTTCCGTCGGGCGGCAGGCCTCTTGACAGCTCTGGTGCTGCTGAGCCTCCTGAATGAGGCCTGGCAGCTGCAAGGTCTAGGTCTCGCGGCATAGCTGTTGATTAACTCACCTGCCTTCGCCTTGCGCTGGCATTGCACGGACTTGAGTTTCATGCTTATGTTGTGGTAGACAAGGAGGGAGCTTGAGCGTGTGTTGAGTGTTGAGGGTGTAGGGAAGTGCTCCAAAGGCTTGCCGACATAGAAACGTCCTCGCCTGCTACTACGGCGGTTGTCTGATGTAGCTGGTGCGATCCATCGGGACAGGGTCCTTCAATGTGTGATATGGGGGTAGGGCTTCTGCAGTCACAAGAAGTTTCGATGGCACGTCACCCACGGTCTCTTTTCAAGCGGAAGACGTGAAGTTGCCAGGGCTCTGCTCAGTCCTACGACTGCGATGCCGGCCTCGCCAACTCTAGGATGGGCTGGTCGGATCTGAAGAAGGACTATTGTTGCAACTCTTTCGGCAGATACGCCCTCAGGCAGCTGTGGCAGAAGTGCTCAGTCGGGTGGGCCAAGGTAAAGAGCACCAGAAGGGCTGCGATGAAGCAGCCCAGCCAGCGCCGACGGCACCCAAGCCGTGGCCCTTTTCGAATCTCGGAAGGTGTTGAGAAGTACCTGCACTGCAGTGCTGAGACTCGCTTTCGTGCCGGAATTCTTTTGCATACGAGAGATCGACATGGCACGGCAGCTGGTCGACTGCTGAAGCCTGCCTATATGCGAGCATGATTCATACAGAAGATGTTCGCAGTGTGCCTCAGATAAGGAATCCCGAGGCTGGTGCGGATGTGTGGCAGAAGAGACATCCGGTTAGAGACTGTGCGTGCTTCAGCTCCGGCGAGCAATGTCAACTCGAGCTGAAGGAAGTCCGATCAGTGCTGCATGCCCTGAACGTCAGAGACGCCAAAACGGCAGACAGGTTACCCTTGACAGTCGGTGTTGCGGCAGGTGCATCGACACAACAATACACATATGGTGCCTCCATGGTGGACTCCCGGCAGAAGGTTGGGGATTGCTTCGAACACTGTTGGATCAGTGCTTCCAAGCAGTATGAGTTCGTTCTACCGAGCGGAGCAACTGTGGTCTCAGCACCTCGCATCGATGTGACTTGTGCTTGCAAATCTTTCCCCATGCTGGGCTAAGGGTTGTAGCTGGCATCAAACCAGCCGGAGCTACTGTGGACTACGGTATCTTATCGGCATTCGGCAAGAGGATGTGCAGAGGATTCTCCTTGCAGATGTCGAGGTCCCTACACTGCTGCTGGTTTCTCGCCTGCGCAGCAGCATCAGTCTCCTGGTTGTGAGATGCTTCAACTTGCAGACTTCTGACCTGCGATCGCCCGAGCTTAGCTCTAGCTTGGATCTTCGTGAAGCTTGTGGTCGGCCCAGGTTCGGTGTTAATGTCACCGGCCACATCAAGACCCTTGACAGCACAGAGATCCACTGTCCGCCGTCAGGCAAGTATCCAGAAGCTGCTGAAGTGTCTACACTGAAGTCAAGACAGTCTGCATCTCAGGAACTTTCAGCGTTTTCGCATTGCCACGAAGGCCCTGCAACCCTGCATCGATCCGAGCATCAGCTGCAAGCTTCTGAAATCCTGCAGTAAAGTACTCATCCAAAGTGCGCTTTCAACTTTGGGGTTCGGCGGTCGTGAGATGTTGGAAGCACCAGCAAGTCCATGTGTTCTGAGCGGACTTGGAAACTGAAAGGGCAGTGAGGAGCGCTGCTCGGAACGCTGCCCGAGCCTTTCACAGCACACGTCAGCTGGGATCCCAAGGAAGGAGAAGCAGTTCGGCTTGGATCAGAAGGCTCGTGGGCTTGAAATCCCTTTTCTCGCAACAAGCTCGCGCTCTTCGAAAGAACCACTTGATTGTCACAGATATCAATACACCGCCAAGCCTGCATCCGCACAAGCGATTGGACACTGCATAAAATTCAAGCCAGTTCTTGAGATTAAGTCAGCGAGGCGATGATGCACTTGCTGGGGACCGTGCTTTGGCTTCGCCTTTGAATGCCAAAAAGCGCAAGGTCACAGCTTGTTGGAACCAAGGTTCTTGAGGATGCTTGGGAGGAGGTCACGGCCGAGGACCCTGCGTCTCCCGGCAGTTATTGCAGGTTGGCTTCCGGGCCATTGCTGATATGCAGTGCCATCAAAACGCTTCCACATTGCCGTTGGATCCCCCTTGAGTTCAGTGCAAGAGCTGCTGCCCGGCGTCGTTTTGCACCCAAGGTTGAAGGAGTGGACGCGCTTAAGCATCTTGCCTCAACATGCTCTAGCATCAAGCAAGTGAGCTGTGCGATGGAACTGCCAACAGCAGATTTGACGTGCAGGGTTTTCGCGAGGGAGACGAGTGTTTGCACTCAAGCTCAGGAAGCTCCTGCCAACAACAGTGCATGACCATTGCCGTGGGCTGAGATGGAGTTGCCATGAGCTTCAACGGGCCAAAGTCTCCAAGTAAGGGCAAATGCAGCAATGTCAGTCAAGGTTCTCAGTTGGAGCTTGCGCACACTCTGGTCGACGGGCGAGTTGCTCTCTAGGCACAGCTTTTGTGTTGTGTTCCATAGTGCCTCAACCTGCACGGTTCAGAAAATGGGCCAGGGGAGGTGGAGCCAGCTTTTCCTCCGCGCTCGCAGACGCCGTTAGAGCTTGCTATCCAGGCCAGCAGTCGTGAGCGCAAAGCATTATGTCATGCTGATGCTGTACTCGTGATTCCTTCCGTGCCGAATGGAGTGCATGCAGTGCATGCAGGATTTCGTGCACTTCGCGCAGATGAGGTGGCACAGAAGGCCGATGCAAGGATCACACCACGTCCAGGGCTTGTGCCGAGAGCTACAACTGCTTGGAAAATGATGGCGGCACCCACGATTATGATATATTATGATGACCTCACTCGAAGACGCAGAGCTCGGCCTAGCTTTATCTAGCTTTGCTCCTCGAAGCTTTGTCTAGCTTTGCTCCTCGAACCCAAAGTCTTTATCCATGCCTTCTGAAACCTCTTGCGCCGCAGCAGGTCGGCAAGATTGTAGCCCGTGGGCTTGAGAAGCAGCTTCCTATCGCGGCTGCACGTGCGGACTTCTCCCCGGATCGCTGCCGGCTCAGCTGGAGGTGAACGTTCCGTGTGTCAGGGTCCACCGGTCCGGACGAGGCCGCTTGAGCTTCAACCAGAACCCCAGCTGTTTGGAGCAGAGCTCGCTGGATGCCGCTGAGTTGCAAGCGTGAGTGGCAGAGTGTGTGCAAAGCGTTGTCGGGGGCAGGTTGTTGTTCGGGCGGGCTGTGTCACGACAAATGCTCAGCTGTGCCAGTCACTACTTCGGGCACACATCCGAAAGATTGCATCATGTCAGTCGTGGTGCAAGCTGCTGTCGTCCATAATGGGATCTGAACCAAAACGAAGATTGCTTGGGATGTGGTGGCTTTCGCGAGGTCACATTGTGCAGTTGCTTGAGAATCCATGCCGATGGAAACCGCCGCCTCCTCTGAGGCTGAGGATCGCGAGCGCTTCGTGCTCCAGCTTGAGGCCCGGGCCCCTCCGTCCGACGAGTTTCTACGAGCCGACCTCTGCACGCTCGCAGAGGTGTCTGTGGAGAAAGCAGTCAAGACCGCCGAGATGAGGCTTGGTCAGAAAGCCAGCAAGCGAAGCGGAAGCCTTCTGCGGGTGTCAGGAGTTGGAGCACCATGGAACAAGCGGCAAGGCAGGCTTTGGGCCATTGACGGAATGTCGTCACATTGACGTAGATCGATGGCCTAGGACCTAGGCGATGCAGGCGAGGTATGTTTCAGAGGATTGTGTGTTGGATTTCCAGATTTGCCACATGCAGGCCGTGCCAGCAAACTTGTCGGCGAGCTGTGATGAAGCAGGCAGGTCTGTAGACTGAGCGACAGAGTTATTCTTTCTAAGAAGTGCAGCACTTGAGCTGCTTGCGACTGGGCTTGTCTTGCTGTTTTTAGAGGGACGACGTGATAGGGCCGATAGCAGTGATATGGAGTTGTTCTTCGCGGGACGGAAGGCCGCTGAGATGCTTTGGGATGCAGGCCTATTGGCTCGAGGACAGCGTAGACGCTTCAGCTCAGTCCAGGTGTCATGAGAGCTCCCTGTCCCTGCTCCGTGCGAGGAAACGCTGACATGCTGGTGATGACCTCGGTGGAGGCTAGTTCTGATCGCAGTTTTCGCGAGCTGCCAAAGCTCAGCTGCCACATCGATGCTCACTTCTCCCTGTCTCCACCCTTCTGCGCGGAGGGCGCCTTGGCCGCCTGCCTGACGCAGCTCCCTAGCGAGTCGGCGGAGGCCTTGGCCGGCGAGGCAAGGGCGCACGAGCACGGGTGTGGTAGAGTTGGTAGAGGCTCTGAGGAACTTTTTTTTAATTTAAAGGATGTTTTAGTTGTTTACTATGAATTATGATTGTCTGTTTTTGTGGTTGTCTATGCTTTGATGTTGAATGACTCTACCCCTTCCGTGCCGTGAAATGCGAGCATGTTTGTTTTTGGATACGAAACCCTAACCCTGGACCCTCCGGTTTGGTGGCGTACAGAAGGGCAGATGCATGGGTTTTGTGTACCAAAGAGGACCCATTGCGCACCTTCGACGGGCGTTTTACCGTGTGTTGCTTAGACGTTTTACCGTGTGCATCTTAAACCCACTGGCCTACATCCAAAGTAGTAGTGCGATTCAAGGTTTTCCACAAGCAAGGGTGGTCCATATCGTTCAATTTACAATGAGTCATGCCTCCAGAACCCGCTGTAAATGACGAAAAGTATGCACCGCACCATAATTGCGGGAGACACGCGAAGCGAGCATCCCGTGTGAATAAGGGACCAGATTTGCACCATGTGCTGTAAATGATATGATGCACGTGAAGCAGAACGTCCACCTGGCCATGGTTGCAGCTGCTCTGGGGAACAGAAAGAAAAATCCCAAAAGATGCAACAAGCATCTTAAACTAATTGTCGTACCTAACTCTGAGAGCAACAGCGCCAGGCCTTGCTTCATATGCGCCCAGAGCCGGCAGCCCAACTCCGCACGCGAAGTGCAGTACGTTCTCAGATGTTCTCAGCATGCTCGGTAGCTCCCGCCTTTTGTGCCGGTTGTGGTGCCAGCAACGTCTGTACCGCAGGCCAGAGACGAGTGGCAGGACTGTGCCTGTAATTCTGCGTCTCCAAAAGAAGCTGCATTTGTGCAGTGGTTTGCAGGCTGCTCCTCAGCGGCGAAGCGATGAAGATGCCTGCGCGAGATGCAGCTGGAGATACGGGGCTCGAAGGCATCGGGGGAGTTGGCTTCAATGCGGAGTTCACGACATGGTTTTTGCAAACAAGTTGTGGAACAAAGATTGCTGTGAAGAAAGGATTCAGGAAGAGTTCTTGTGCTTTCTGTCGTCGAGACTGTTGCAGTGTCAGGGCTGCGCCTCGGAGACCTTCCCCTAGGAAGCCTCTCCCTAGCGGCTTGGCGGCACACTGCACTTTGTTGGAGTCGTTGCTTCATGCCATCTGCACAGCAATGTGAACGAATGAAGCTTTCTGCTGACAGGTCGGCGTCGCCCTGCTGGCCCTCGTGCCATTGGCACATGCTTTGCTCAAGAGGACCAGCAACGCAAGACGCGCGAGATGTGTTTCTGGGTGTGTGTTGAGCTTTGGCGTGGCGGCAGGCTGAGAAAGGCGGACTTGGAAGATGAAGCGTCCATGTTTTCCACAGAGCCAGTAGACTCCTGAGCTCATTGCGAGCCACCGTGGCTGTGTGGTTGTCGTGGGTCATCGTAGGTCGTGATGTTTCTTGTCTTCAGTCAGCGGCATGTGCATGTTGGCCGCTCGCGGTGTCAGTCCGGAGAAGATTCTGGCCAAGCCAGGCACGACACAGCAAGCGCGATGCATATATGTGCCCGTTGCGTCTCTCCACAGATGACTGGGCAGGATACTGACCTGTGCAATATTTTCCATTGTGTTGAGGCGACTTCCCTCGCCCCATCGCAGCCAGCAAGTGCATAGTGAACTGCAACATGACATGCGAATCTTGCTAATTTCGTTGGTTAGACCCATAATTCAAGCCATGCAGTTCACGATGCCTGTGGTCCATGGCCAACTGATATCGATTTCAACTGCGTTTCTGAGCTGCATCGAGCGAAAATTGCAGCATCCTCCAGCCGAAAGTTGCGATTTGAATCAGTGCCCCATGGCACTGCAGCCAGGCACGGCTGCGTGATGATTAACCATCTCCTTGACGGAGATCAGTTAGGCAGCCTTCGGGACGTTGTCGTCGAGGCTTGGCGCTGCTCTCTACATCAACTGGGCCAGTGCTGATCAGTGCCTGCATGAGGAGAGCGCCCGCCTCGACTTGGCACGCTGCCACGAAGTTCGCTTAGGGGACCTGGCAGCCAAATCGCCAGGTGCCCTTCCCACTTATGTACTTTGAGTGCAAAGTCTTGTGTCGCGAGGCTAGGTCTCAGAAACCTTAAGTTCTGCTTTTGATCTGCATAAAATTTCGGGTGCTGCTGAGCAGGTGCCGGTGATTATGTTTGCATCCTGCTGTCTCGAAAAGAGCCAACTTTTGATGTGCCAGCCTTCGCCGAGCTAGCGACACACCCCCTGGTGATGCAACTGGCGAGGCGGAAAGCGTCGTCTCTGACAGTTCCTATAGTATAGTATAGTATATTATGTTTTAGTATATTATAGTATAGTATAGTAGAGTATACTATAGTATAGTATAGTACAGCATGGTATAGTCTAGTATACTATATGTAGTCTTAATTATGCTAGAGAGTGAGGGGTTCCAGGGTCGAGGCAATGAGGCGAAGCCTCAGCAGATTTCTTTTCGGATTCACAGTTCTGACCAACTTTGAGACAGTTTTTTAGGCGGTGCACGAACAGTTGTACTGATATACTATACTATAATATACAATACTATAATATATACTACTATAGTTACTAGAAGCAATCTTTCACCTCCAATATTGGAGAGTTCCCATAGTCAGACAGTGCGGCGCCTTCCAGGCGGTTGCTCTCTCCAGCACTACTGCTGTCGGATATGCAGAGCTGCCTTTGCCTTATTGCATCCACGACCTTCATGCTCTCTGTGTTTTTCTCGTTTTTCATTGGCCGGCTTTGCGGCTCGTGAAATGTTTATGCTCTTCACAGGTCGTACGGACGTGGACTACGTGCGCAAGGAGTTGGAGGCCTTGTCGTTGGATTTTGGGAGCGCTATGAGCTCCCTTTGCATTCACACCGACACAGAGACACCTTTTTTGATGCAGAGGAGACCACCTGGCACGTTGTGCATCCTTACAGCAGTGCCGAGTTTCCTGGCGTCGTGCTCCCTGCCGCGTTTCCAAGGGCTTGGCAGAAACCTTCGGACGCAGACTGTGCATCTGTGTGGAATGGGGCAGGTTGACCCCAGGATCAACGTCACTGTCGCGGCCTGGGATCTGCGGTTTCTAGTAGGTCATGGGCGCAACGGATCCTGGCAAGACCTCCTCGCCTTGATTAGTTGCACGCATACCCATGCCGTCAGCAAGCGATAGGTGGCATGGGAATGTGCATATCCAGGTGACTTGGTTCCTAGACCAACTTGACACAGAGAACTCCACGTGGGCTTTCGTGAAGGTGCCGTCTGGGATCACTGGTCGTTAACAGCAAGAGTCAGTGACTAAGCACCGGGCAGTTGTGCAATGATGGCACAACCGCTCGATCATCGGAGCAGAAACGGGTTCTTGGAATTTTGCCTTCGCTCGACGGAGTCTGCTGGCTTTGCTAGGCCTGTTGGGGTGCAACACGAAGACGAACTGGAGCCTAGAGATCCGCAGAGTCTACCCGTCATGGCCATGGAAGCGGTGCATTGCATGTTTTTGCCATCCGGAAGACGGAAAGACGTAGCTGTTAACACATCTGGTTCAACAGGGGATCTTGTCAACTATCAATATCAAACGCTTGTCACACCGGCGAAGCTCCCTGGCAGCCTGGGAACATTTAAACCGCAAACCCAATGAAGAAAAGGACAACGGAGAAACGCCAAGTCTTCTTGTCAACTACAATCTGTTCAACGGCCGGCTCCGATCTTGGCACAGTTTTCCGCGTGTCAACTGGAAAGATGCCAGCCGCTCGTTGCCCCTGGAGAGGCGCCGCTTGGGGATGGCGGACACTTGCCGCAGCTGCCACACCTCAGCTCCCCGGAAGAGCTGCAGGCCTTGGACGCCTTGGAATTAGTGTTGGGCTTGCTGCAGTCAGGCTTCGTGAGATGCAATGCCTTGGGTCTGGGATTTGTGGCACTTGTCGGACGTCCAACAGAAGAATTTGCTTGGAGCCATGCAGCTGAGTTCCGGGACTCTGCTTCGCTATACGCATGATCAGTCGCACGTGGGAGCCTCCTGTCTGAGCGAAAGAGCGACGACTAGGCTGTTGCACGTGGTGCGCAGCCGTTGCTGGCGAAGCCCGGCGCGGCATGGCCCCGGCCTCAGCATTCCGCACTGGTTTTGGTTGAGGCATGTTAACCCTGCCACCCACAAGTCCGCTTGTCGTTCTCGAGGTTGTGCATTGGCCCATATTGGATGTCAAACAACGTCGGTGCAGCCTCCTTCTGGAAGGACAGGTGTGCACTGACTCCTCTTTATGTACCCTGTACTTCTGCGGATGAACCAAGGAACTATGACTTTAGTTGGGATTATGCCTTTATAAACGCTGGCAGCACGGATCACATCAATCCGTTGTTTGGTCCCGTTTTATGCGGATACTCTCCGTGCAGAGGGCTTGGAATTGCTGTTAGATATTGGCACGTCAAGAATCAGCATCAGGACTATGATGCGCAGACGCGCTACAAGCACCTCAGCGGACAGAAGGTGCACTTGTCCTACAGCGGTATTTCGATGCCTGTCTGATGACACTGCTCAGCTTGCGTCAGGCAGTGAGGCCAATTTTTGCACAGTGAGCCATGCATGGATCCACCTTTTGAAGTCCTTTGCATCATGTTGAGTGTGACAACTTCAGTTGGTTGCACTCAGTGCCCCGAATTCGGTAGGAGCAATCCTTCCGGGCGCTGACGGACGCGCAGCGGGCTGCTCAGCCAAGGGCGCGGACCCCAGGGGGGTGCAGACAACAAAGGTGCCTTTCCCGCTGCGCAGTGCGGCAAACCCTGTCCAAACCTGGCATGCCGGCGGATCACATAACTCCTCTCAGCCGCAAGTCATGTGCTGAGGAGGAGCTTTGCCCGACGGTTCTCCAGGTCAGCACATACTTCCGTTGCTGCTGAAGGGATGCAATTGTCGACACTCGAGCAGCTCTGTAAGGGTTTTGTCGGGATACACTGGATTCTCCTCCTCAGTCGGCAACGCTGCTTCGAGGACAGGTTCTCGTGAAAGGGCGCGGCGGACGCAACAAACGAGCAGATGTCGTGCAGGAGATGTACTTCTACATTGTAATGTCCAGCACCGCTTGGATGACACCTAGTTTAGCACAAGGGCTCTAAACGCCTTTACTCAGGCGCAACCAAGGTGTCATCAGACAAAGAGCAACATCGATGCACATGCTCACATTGTGACGAAGGGTCGGTGCTCCAAGACAGGAAACCGAATTTCAATTCTTGGCCACCAGGTTCCAGCGCAATCCAACTGGCCAGGCCACCTACGTCCGCGAGCACGTGGTCACGCCGATGCCGCCAGCACACGAGGCCAGCGGCTGACCCCGGAGTGCCGGCAAGAGCTGATGGCCCAAGCTCTGAACAACGGTGCCGTTTGCTGCGCACGGCCGGCAGGCTCTGGCGCAGCTCGGCGATGCAGGGAGGCGCGAGAGGGTTTGTGGTTTTTCCGATTGGTGCAGAACCTTGCATCGGACAAGCAAGTGATGATTGGCGCCAGTTCGACATGTGGACAGGCAGCTTGCGAGCTTGTTCCGGGCGGCCTGAGGCGTTTTGCAAGGCTATGCCTGGACTTGGCCGCTTGCGAGCGACCTTCCTTGCGCTTAGGGGGTTTGCCTTCGCCAAATCCGTTTCACCCTCGACATACCAGCAATGCAACAAGCGCTGCTGACCAGTTTAGAGGCGCATGGAAGTCCAAGCAGAAGCATTGAGTCTCGACGTTGAAGCCCTTGAAATATCCATAGCCGCATGGGAAGAAGGTAACAGAGCTATTCATGCGCATCATCGTGCCGGGAACATGTTTACCGGTCATGCCGTTGTTGGAAAAAGGCAGCGAGCCGAACGTCTTGTGTGCGTTCAGCCACGTTGGGGTTGATGCGGACGCGTGACTAGTCTAGTGTCTCGGGAGACAAGTGCAACCCTTGATACCCTGTAGCATATCATGCTTCAAGCCATGCTTCATGAGACACAGTTCCGAAACCGTTAGGCCTTGACAGTGTGAGCATGTGCTGTTGTGACCCGCGGCCCCTTTCTAAGGCCTTGCCCCAGTTGTGTCATTCGCAGGAAGCTTGTTCTGCTTGCCGCTCCGACTTCGACGTTTGCTTGTGCGTCTTTTCAAAGGCACGCCATCAAATGAAGGCTGGACAGGTAACTTCACAAAGGGTAGCCGCAACCATCGCGCAACAATATTTTTTGGGCAACCTATTCACCACCAACGTCCGGGACCCAAGTTCCCAAAGAAAGTCACAGGCCAAAAGCTGATGCAGTTTGGGCACCCCGCAGGCACTTGTAAAACAGGAGGCGGTCGATTCCAAGAAGGGGTCCTGGATGTCGTTCCCGGACCCTGCTGAGCCATAAGATATAAGAGCATGAACCCGTACCTTGAGACCTGTGGGCTGTGGAGGCAAGTTCCAGGGCAAGGACAGGCAGGAATGCTGGTCCGAGCTCAGGCTCTGGAAGCGAGAAGTCACCATGCCCCCGCGATACGAGAAAAAGTTACAGCCACGGAGTTTCCAAGCACGGCTCAAGGACAGCATCAGAACACGGCGGGATCGGTGAACACGGCGGGCCTACTCTGATGTTCTCCGTTGCACCAGGGTACGAGTTCAACGCCGCACGTCACAGCTGAATGGGTCACGGCTGCACTGGCGAGTGTCTGTCATCAAATCTGTCTCGGCAGACATGGAGCGACCTGGCATTTTTTCGGGTGTGCTTGGAAGGGCGAGATATAGATGAATGCACTGCAGTTGCTCTTGCGTGTGGGAGCCGACGGCCGTCTCAAGAGCTATCAAGTGCTGTAATCCGTTGTCTTAGCACGGCTCGCCCCGGATAGAGAAAAGGCAGTGAACCCGAAAACCCTGAACACTTCCTTGGGACTCCTGGTAGACAGTCGCAGCCATGGCGCTGGCAGTGATGGGCGCCAGCAGCAAGGCTAGGGTAAACCTGCAGCAGTCAGCACGGATCCTTGACGTGGAGTGAACGGTCAGAGCTTGCGCATGGTGCCACGTTCATGTTTGAACAGCATGTCCACGTGTGCTGCCAGGGCTCAGTCCTGTGAAAATTTGGCAGTCAGGACACACTGCCAGCAGACCGCCGCATGCAACCGCATGTTGCATCAAGCCCAGAAATTCGATAACGTGGGTACAGCCAACGAGCGTGAATCGAAGCGCCACGTGCAAGTGACAGAAGCTCGCTTGCAACTCACTGTTGGATTTTTGAGCACAGGCCGCTGCAAAGGACATCGCTCACACACACGCAGGGCAAAACAAAGCCATGCAAGTCAGCCACAGCCCTTCTTTTATCGCGTGCAGGGGTTTCATGGGTCTGGGTAGGCCTCCTCAACTAAAAAGCCAGACAACCCAGACTGGGCCACCAAGCCGGGACGCGTGTCCGAGTGCAGTGGGGTACAGTAGGCCAAGGCAGCCAGGGAACAACTCACTTTCCTTCCATCAGCCCCACTCCAGGCTCCGGCGAGCTCAGGAGCCTCGAAGGCACGCAAAACAGCAAAGGGGCAAAACCAGGTGAAGCGTTTGGAGTTGTCCCCGCAAGTCAGGTCACCAAGGCTCCGAAGATGGACAGCAAAAAGGCCTTCGAGATTCCAGGCTCGACGGGATTTGTTACGTCACGACGCAGTTTGAAGACCAAGGCTGCGGCAGAGCGTTGATTCACTGATTCAACACCTCGGGATGGGAAGGCAAAGCTTATTTGACGCCGCTCGCGCAGGCCTCCAAGCCCGGCCTTACCACGACGACGAGCTGCAGGCGCTCTTACAGGGCGCCTGTGCTTCAGACATCTGAAGCCTCGGAGCGGATTCAGGTTGCCTTTGAGATCATCGACCTTGACCGACATGGCGAGATAGGCTCCGCTGATATCCGGAGAGCGCTGCAGCTCCTCGTCCGATGTACTGGTGGTGGTGTCAAAAGCAAACAAAGGTCAGAGGCAGAGGCATTCAAAGGGGTGGCCAAAGACCAAGGGCAGCGCCGCTCCTTCGGACCCTTGCCGAGGCTTTGTGGGGAGAGCGAGCCCACGGATGCGGAAATCCAGGCGCGGGAAGCAGGAACTACGGAGATCCACAGAACAAAAGGGCGCCCGCTGCGATGTTAGAGAAACAGGAGATGATCCGCTTGATGGATCCGGCCCCTTTAACTGCATGTGCTGAGCACAGACGGGTGTCTTTGAGGAACTCCGAAAGCCGAGGATGGTAGTGGCTCCATCGAATTCCCGGAGTTCCGGCGCTACTTTTTTGACCCGCCTCCGCTGTTCGGCCGTTAAAAGCAAAGGTCTCTCTTAAAGGCCCCGCCTTTCGTTTTTCCCAACGCGCAGCCAAGGCTTTTTCGAAACTTCGACCTCCACCGGCGCGGTGGGGGCGAACGGGACCTTGAGGAGTCTACTTGGGTCCTTGGAGAGGCTATTAGTTAGATGTCTCTGTGGAAGGAGGAAGTGGGAGAAGGCGAGCCGCTGCCTGCGCTGGAGGCGGGCTTTGCGGTGTAAGCATCCTTGAACACATCATCAAACCCTTGGGCAGAGCACTTTGAGAAGTCAGGACATCTCCGGAGAGGACCAGACACCAGAGGGCGTGCAGCGGTCGGACAGGAAGAAGAAGTTCACCATCAAGGCATCGCTCTTGGAGTTACATGCGTAGTCGGAGCAGGTCACCTGCCTAAGAGGTTCCATACGTTCCGTTTCTTGGGAGGCTGCCGAGGAGACTGGCGACCCGCGCTTCAAGCACATCAAAAGCCTCATCAAGGGTGGAATCACACCGGACTCCAGGCATTGAAGGTACTGCATTCTTGAAACACTTGGTTGTCGATATGTTTGATGAAGCGAGTTTCGATCTGTGACAACTTCGTGCACGGAAGACTCAGGACATCATCCGCCACATCTACCAGAGCTTTGTGGAGCTTGACGACAGCGACTCTGGCTACATGTCATTTCAGGCGCTCTTGCTCTCGACCGCAATGCTTCGGAAGCTCATGTGCTGTTACAAGCCCCCGCAGGCTTTCTGCAAAGTCTTTGGGAAGGTGGGAGCTCCTTCATTTTGTGAAAATGTGAAAATTCACTTCGAGAGAGTGCCAGGAGCCCTCTGCGGACATGCGGGAAATTTTCGATGCCTTCGATGCCGAGCACGAGGGAGAGCTGGTGCCCCAGGCAAAGAGTCGCGGCCGAATCTGCAAGGCAGATGTCGGCAAAGCGTCATGTGGATCCCAGCTCTGCAAGGCTCGACCTCCGACAGTTTGTGATCGGACTCTCCACGTGCGCCCCGCCTTCGAAGCCTCGGTTTGGCTTGGACCCTCACCTTCTCACGAATAGCAGTGCCACTCGGACAGTGGTACACACAGTGAATCTTTCAATATGCCGCTGGCCAATGATGATCGGCTCGTGATTGCTTCTCTCTGGACTTCAGCGAGGTAGTCGCAGGCAAGTGCCACACCCCAAGCCCTTAAAGGAGCATGGTCAGACGCAGAGGAGATGTTGTAGGGTGACAGCTGATGGCGTTCCTATCCCGCTGCCATGGAGCTGCAGGGGCAGCAGGCAGCATGGACCTCGGCTGACTCCAAGCAAGCTGCAAGCATGAGGTGCTGTCCAGAGCTGCCAAGGTCGCAAGGGGACGGCACCACCCGAACTTTCGCCCGCTCCGCAGGCTGTGAAAGATGCACCATGATAATTTCCCGAATCGCAAGCACGGGCAGGTCAAAGCAGCGAAGCAATCCAACTCTTGATCTGACCCTCTCCAAGCCGAGTGCGGCACAGATGCAAGAACTCTTCCGATGGCTTGCTTTGTGACCTCGAAGCTGGTCAGTGGTACAGTACTCGTTGTCGGGTGTGTACCGCATCTTCGGGACATGGGTCGGCTGGAACGTGGCTTCTTCGCCAAGGTAAAAAGAGAAAATTCTATGGCTTCTGCTCTCGTACGCAGCAGCATGTGGAAGGCAGCCCTTGGAACACTGGCAGATGTCTTCAGGACTGGCAGTTTGCAGTAGACGCTCCACTTTCAGTTCTCATTGCAGATCCGCAGGAACGCGATGCAGCCGGATGTCTTCACTTGTAATGCCCTAGTAAGCACATGCGCACCAGTCGCTTGGTGGCTGCTTGGATGACATGAGGTATTCGGTCTACTTGGCAGGCTGGATTTCCACTTTCAAGAGGCATTCCTCACGGATTTGCATCCTGAGGGCTTCCTTGAGGGCCAGAGGTTGCTACATGCAGTAATTAATATTTCAGCTCGCAGGTGAGGGACGGCAGACATGTGGTGTTAGATTTAGTCTTACAGCGACGGGCCGGAATGTGGCATGAGTGGTCACGAAAGCAGCGTTCCGAGAGAGCGGCATTCCCGGCCGCCCCATTGCTAAAACAAGGCTTGCAAACTACAGGTCGCCTGAGGCGAGGCTTCACAGGGTCGGACCGAGCGCTGCCCGATTTAAGGGCTGCCGCCACTGCCGCCGATCCCTCTGTCCCCATCCGGTGTGTTCTGAAGTGTGCTGAATCGTATTCAATCCAGGCAGCTCGGCATCCATGCCCTGCGTCAGATGTGCTGCTTCGGTTTGCAA